GTAGACTATTATGCCAGTTCCCAGAGATCCGAGGTGGTTTTTCAAAGATCCTCTGGAAATTCGACCTTTAAAAGTCTTTCAAAATCAACTTTTGCTTATGAAAAGTGAGTCACAACTCTCTACTTACAATTGCTGAAAAGTACAGATCTCCAGCACTTATTGTTGTCGAGTTAATAAAGAAACAACCACCTACCTTCTTTTGTTGCGACTAAAATAATCTTTACCTCGCGGAATCCGAAAAATATAATCCACAGCCTAAATGACCAATATCACTTCTTGATCCACCTAATTCATTAACTACGATTTTTGGCATCAGTAAACCTCTGTATATAAAGTGAATAAAAGTTGCATTTATATAAGCCTAAAAATATTGTTTTATTACCGTGATAGAATTCCAAGAAAATTACTATATTTAGAACCATGAAATAGTTGACATTGATTATGTAAAGTTGCTTTAAAATTTATTGTTTCAGTTTGTCGCGTGATTTCGAAGATGCTGTCTACAATAACTTCTTCATTTCTAAGGGACAAAGACAGAAATTAGCAAGAGTCTTTATTATTTTTAGTAATATGTCATAATACGTACGGATCTGTTGATGAATTTATCATATTAGTAAGTTTTTTAAATTCAACGGAATCTTTATCTATTTTACTTATATAACAGTTTAATGAACGGTATTTTGCTTCTATTGATGCTTTTATATTCCAATTTGTTATTTCATTTACAGTTAACATATCACGAAGCATCTAAACAAATACAGAAACAAATGAAAATTCAATCTAAGCACAAAAGTTGTGTTATTTACTTGACATAAACTCATTTTTTCTGCTAATACTCGACGATTGTTTAAATCTAATACAAAATTAAAATTATGTGGGATGAGTGAATAAAATTTTAAATTGATTTCAAATGATACTACTTCAATGTTAGTATCTAATAGACGCTTCTGTTCCAACAAAACAGCTTCGGCTTCAATAATCTAAAGAAAAATAAAGAAAATAATTAATCCATGATGCAGAATTCGCTATTAAAAGCCCTAACCTCGAGTTTACTAATGATTAATGTGCATAAAGCAACGAATTGTTAAAGACCACAATATTTTCTTGGATGACGCTGATCTCACAAGTCATCACAAGTTAATCAGCATTTTCAGGCAACGTGAGATTTTAAAAAAATACCGGAAAAGGCCAAACCAAACAACGTAGTGCAAGTATGCGGTATAGAGGGCTTTGTAGGGCAGAAAGTTGTCTATGTTTTGAGCCTAGAGTCGAGTCTTCAAACTATAGTAACGTGTCCCCAAAAACGAAAACAAAAGTTGTCGGCTTTCTCTGGATCACTTGTTATGTCTCTGCACCTAGGGTATATATATCCGTGGTCTGGGTGTGTATTTGCACACCGTATGGTAGAATTCTAGAGGCTCACTCGATTCCAAATTGACGTTCATTTTAAGTGTATCACTTACACACTTTTTCCAACCTTGTAGAATATACACGCTAACCAGCAAGGCTACATTTTCAAAAGGAATCTCTCAAAAACTGCATTTTTTCAGCAAACATCAATAAAATTCTAGAGGCAAACCTGTGAGAAAAAGTTTCGCGTTACAGAATGACGGTTAGAAAAGTTTCAATATTTGGAAGTTTTATCTAGGAGAAAGTTTTTCCTACTATCTGTTTTTTGAAAAAAGGCTACTCTAACTTTTTACTGAGAAGAGTTAGCGACCTGTGGTTTCTGGCAATCGAAAGAGGACATCAGGGGACACAAACCTATGTAAAAATGAAAAATTTTCAAAATAACTTTCTGGGTTATTATAACCCGGAAACTCTCCTTTTCGAATGGTATCTAAGCAATCCCAAAAATTTTGCTTCCTCACCGAGTTATAAGCGTTTCAAAATCGGCTGATTTTTCGGGGACTTTAGCTTTTTTGAATAAAAATGTCGATACATAGGTAATCGAGTGCGCTGATTATCATGGTGATGTTAGTTTTCGGTTTGGAGACGAAACAAATTGAATTAATTGAGATTTTCAGAAAATCGCATATTTTTCCTGGGCGTACGGAAAACTCACTTTTTTAAAAAACGCAGTTTAATCATTTTTGTTTACTCCAAACCGAAAACTAACATCACCACGATAATCCGCGCACTCGATTACCTATGTGTCGACAGTTTTTAGTTCAAAAAAGCCAAAGTCTACGAAAAAGTGGCCATTTTTGAAACGCTTATAACTCGACAAGGAAACAAAATTTTGAGGATTGCTTAGATACCATTCGGAAGAGGATCTCGAGATCTACAAACCCAGCGAAAAACGTTAAAAGAAATTTTCCACCCCAAAATAGGCTAATTTTGTAAAATTTCTCTAATTTTAATTAATTAGGAAAGTATTTTGGAACATTTTTATTTTCATATAGGTTTGTTGCGCCAACTGTTCTCTTTCGATTGGCGAAAAAAATTATTTCAAAAAACATCCATCTGCACGGTTCATTGAAATGGATAGTAATTAGTACACAAGACAAAGGTGAGTGTGATGAGTTTTTCTGATGTTCTGTCAAACAGTTTCAGAAACATGTTCCATCCCGTCCTGTTCAGCTTTTTAAAAATCTTATCCCATCCCGACTTATGGAACGGGAAGATGAAACGATTCTGTCCACTTCTATTGACTCTTATTTTTTGCGATTTTTATTATTTGTAAGTTTTACTTTTTATTTTTTTTTTGCTTTTAGAACATAATCAATAAACGGAGTATTCTGCTGACAACCATTCATGTTAAATCCTACATCATCATGCTACTTCTTGGATTAGAATATTTACATGATCAATGGATATTGCACAGAGTAAGATATACTGACATACAAGTGTCTTTTACTCATCTTAATTAAAAAAATAAATTTTTGTATTTCACTGTAGGATTTGAAACCAAATAATTTATTAATTGATCGTAAAGGAGCACTAAAAATTGCCGATTTTGGACTGTCCAAATTTTTTGGTTCACCATCGAGAGATATGACACATCAAGTTGTAACAAGGTGATAAACATTTTATAGTTGATTATATTAGTCATTTGTTTACAAGCAGAACATAACTATTGCTTTAGTGATGTGAAATAGTTTAATATCATTCATATTTTATTACAGATGGTATCGTTCGCCTGAACTACTGTTTGGTGCAAAAAAATATGGTACAGGCGTCGACATGTGGGCCACAGGATGTATAATGGCTGAACTATTAATTCGAGTATGATGGATGTCGATTATTTTACATGAAATTTATTTGATCTATCGTTTCTAGACTCCATTTTTAGCCGGTGACTCTGATTTAAATCAGTTATTGAAAATATTTGAGCAGTTTGGCACACCAACAGAAGAAAACTGGCCGGTAGATTGTTTCTTTTGTGAAATATGTACGTTAATTTATTGTTATGTATTGTTAGGATGTAAAAAACTTTGATGATTATATTGAATATAAACCGATAAAGGCTCAACCACTTCGACAGCGGTTTACAGCATCGAATAATGATGAACTCGATGTATTAGAACGTTTAATGCAATTAGATCCAAAACGACGACCAAATGCGAGTGAGGTCAGAAGACAAACTAAAAAAAGAGTTTTAACTATTGATACACACTAAGCATATTTTCGTTTTAGACTTTGAAATTAGAATATTTTTCCAATCCTCCTGCACCATGTTCATGCGAACGATTGGTAAAAGATGTTCAACAAGCACATTCCGATCATAAACGAAAACCTTTAGAAGAAAAAGGTAAACAGTCTCGATCATACTTTATGACACTATGAGATAGTTTATGCTGTCTTTTTAGGTGGTCCAGCTAAAAAACGACTTGCATTCGATGAATAAGTATGTGGCTTTGTCTATTCCAAGAATTTCTAGTCAAATATATTTTTTATTGTACAGAGAGGCGCTATGTTATTTTTTTTGTTGCGTATTGATAACATAGAGTAGAACGAGATGATCCAACTGACGTGAAGTAAGACATACAACATGATTTTATTACGGTTATGATATTTTAAATAGACTGAGCATCATTGACCCGAATGGTAGTCGTTCGAAAAACTCGTATCTCAAAACTAAAGCTGTTTGACTTGTTCAACGTTATTAAATCTTGCTGAAAGAAAAAATTAGGAAATATAAAACTATTGCTCAAGTTACAAATCTTATCCATCCTTTTCAAAAAAGTTCCTGTTAGGATGCATCATAATACAAGCGACTGAGCTCTTGCAAGTTACGTTAGACATTTTGAATTAACGTTCGAGAAAAACAAGAGTTACGCATATTGTGATAACAATTTAAGGTTCTGGTAAAAGTAGAAAGAAGAAAATAAGATAGCAAATGGAGAAAAAGAATGTAGATACACGTTTTATAGTATATATATATTCTTCGAACTTTTCGACATTTTTAGTTTTCGACATTTATACTTACGACATTTATATT